AGGACACTCACAGAGGGCCGAGGGAGGGTGATATACTTTTAATTAGGCCTTAAACATCCCAAGAGGGACCGGACATTAGATCTTCAAGTGTTCAAACTACACATACTGAATGAAATAATTAAGAGCATTTACAAACAGCCAATGCAAAACACAGGATGCACAAATTCACACTTCCACATCATGGAATTTGATTCAAGAGGAACTAAAATAAAGTTCTAAAAACTTCCCTCCAAGTTCAGCATCTGTTTGGAGATCTTATTCAGTACACTTAAATTTAGCAAAGAATAAAACAAGGTTAACTTCTGCTCCATACTTGAGAAAGTCTTGAATATGTACCTTTAAAAATCAAAATTAATAACAACGACTGCAAACTTTCCTATTAGCCTCAGCCAAAGAGGAAACAAACAAAACTTACATGGAAACATCCTCCTCCTTTAGCCACAACATCATCAAGCTGATCTCTTAACATTGACTGCAAGGTCCTATTCATAACATGGCCGTTCTCTGCTAAACATTAAAGGGATAGTTCACCCAAAACTCACAATTCTGTTATCATTCACTCTCTCTTTACTTGCTCCTAACCTGTTTGACTTTCTTTCTTCTCTTGAACACAAAATAAGTACATTGAAGTATATCGAAAACTTGTAACCATTGACTTCCATAGTGTTTGTTTTGCCTACTATGGAAGTAATTGATTGCAGTTGTTTTAGCTTTCTTCAAACATAAAATAAACAGACTGAAGAAACTCATAAAGGTTTAAAACCACTTGACGGAGGGTAAATGGTGAACACATTTTCATTTTGGGTGAACTATCCCTTTAAAGAAACTCAAACCACTTGATGGAGAGTAAATAGTGAATACAATTTCATTTTTGGGTGAACTATATCTTTAAAGAAACTCATAGGAGGTTTAAAACCACTTGATGAAGAGTAAATAATGAATACAATTTAATTTTTAGGTGAACTATCCCTTTAAAGAAACTCAAAGAGGTTTAAAACCACTTGATGAAGAGTAAATAGTGAATACAATTTCATTTTTGGGTGAACTATCCCTTTAAAGGTCCCGTGAAGTGCTTCGAAATGAGCATTTTTCTTCATTGGTTGACGTAATCTCAATCGAAACATGGAGAGGGGGTGGGGGTAATGTAGCTCCTCCCTCTTTTTAAAAAACAGCCTATCATATTTTATATCATCACCGCTCTGCCAGTGAGAGAGGTTGAACTCAAGTGCATGAAATGAAAAGCAATTGAGAAGCGTCTTGAAGGGGGCGGGGCATGTCAGACACTAGAGAGTATTTGATTGGTCAGAGGATTTAATGAGAAACTGAAGTATGAGGCTACGTGGATAAAACCGTTGATCCATTTAGGCAGAAGTGACGAACTACAAGCTTAACATGTTTATATCAGTTATATCATCAAAACGGTGACAATTCACATTTAGAAGATATAAAACGGATATAAACATGTAATTATTAATAGTTTTTAGGATATTTATAAGCTAGTGTGCTCCAAAACAATAACAAAATTCAATGTTGAGGAGCACACTAGCTTATAGATATCCTAAAAATTTATTTATACTAACACTAAACTCTAATTAACATCTTTAACACCTTTAACATCACTGATTTGAGGGAAATGCGCTTGATATATAAAATAGTAGTTTTAAAGTTTCATCTTAAAACGCAGGTGGGGCTTTTATTTTAGGACATCACATAAGAGCTTATATTTAGAGATGGAGGGAAGGCCCGATGTCGGTGTAGTGACAGTGCATTGCTACAGCTCTAGACTCTGCTCGTCTACAGTGTTGAATTTCGTAATGGAATGTGAACTGCTCATCCAGATCCGTCCTCTCCTCCCTGCCTTTAAAAGAGGCCAAAGAAAGAAGAGGATGCATCTTTATTCGCCATGAGCACAAAACTACTTGGGGTCATCTAGTGTAAAGCAGTGCTGGGACTTTATTATCTGTACCAATCCACTCCAAAACAGAGTCGGATAGAAGCGTGGAGCATAGAACAGGTTTTTTGATAGTCAGAGCAGCTGGAGTGCAAAACGGAAAACCTGGAGTGGAGTTTATATTATAGAAAGTGTATATACAGTAGTCAACATTTGAAGTGGATCGGTATCTTCCATAAGCGGTCCTGAATCTTTTTAACGACACACATTCTTGTCTTAAGACAATTAAAAAAACATATTGATCCAAATGTTGACTATTGTACAACATTAATCATACAGTTGGTTTTAGTTGTTTACATGTTACTTGACTCAAAGATGCATTGAAATGAATGACTACGTTCGCATGGACAACAGTAATTGAATTACTTGCCTTAATCTGAATAAGACAATAATATGATTAAGGTGTTTACATGAGTTGCTTTTTGAATGGTGTCAAACAGCTGCGTGTGTGTAGACTATCCAGTAGCTAAAAGCAGCAAAAATTCCACACGACGTTAATAGTTTTAGGCGTTTACATGTCTGTACTGCACTAAAATGATGCCACTAAAACAGGTCTACTCCAAGTCTTAATTCCTTTTCTGTTTAGTTTGATTAACTTAATGGGATTGATGAAAAAAAATCGCTGTTTACATACTCGACTCTTAATCGGAGTATTGTCTTAATCGTTTTTAAATCGGATTATTGGTGTCCATGTAAAAAATACTCAATGATAGGTTTTGTTCAACATATGCCACCTATGGGTGATTTAAAAAATAAAATCATATACTTTTAAATGTTTTTCTTATTCATTTGTGTTTTGTGTAGAGTTGACAGCGTAACAGCGCTTGTAAACACTGTAAAAGTGGTTAAAAATGCTGTATTATGCATGCCAGGCCATTAGTTGCTCAAACATCCCTCCATTGTTTTGTTTTTTGGGTTGCGGTTTTTAAGGGTATACCGCGGTTAAATAAAGTCAAGGTTTTTAAATTTTCCAAACTGTTCTGCTATAACATTCCTACGGTATTATGTAAGGTATTTTTATTACATTTTGTTTTTTAGGACAACAGTATCTTCAGCAGAAAAGTTATCCAAGATGCTGTTTTAAATTGTAATGAATTTGTAGAACCTAATGAAGGCAGCAAAAGTCAGTGATTCATTAGAATTATTTAGGCTGACATGTTTGTTCAATGACAGCGACTGTTTCAAAATATGTTAAAAGTTTCTCAAAATAAAATATACTGTGCTCAAAGGGGGAAAAAAAAGAGTTTGTTTTTTACCCAAACTTTAAGAGAACATAACAACATCGTAAAACCGTGATATTTTTATCCAAGGTTATCATACCATCAGAATCTTATCCAAGCCCATGCCTAGTACTCTTGCCACCTATAGACTGCACATGACATCACAGTTTTAATAACTTAAACATAAGTGTCATTTTCAAACATTTACACCCAAAGTTTGTATATTTGCAGGCCCTGTCATAGATAAAACAATTTAAAAACTTGCATCCTAACATCCTAAACAACAACATCCTAAATCCAACTTTAACAATGATCCCAGGTCCAATTGACACTGTAAGTCAGAGATAAACACTACTATAGTCTTGCTCTTCAATCATTGATCTCCATATATTGAGAACAGATATACATTACCATCAATTATAAATAATAGTTATAGAATAGAATTGAATAAGCTAAACTGTGTGAGTGTGAATGAGCGTGTATGAGTGTTTCCTGGTGTTGGGTTGCAGCTGGAAGGGCATCAGCTGTGTAAAACATATGCTGGATAAGTTAGAGGTTCATTCTGTTGTGGCGACCCCTGATTAAAAAACGGACTAAGCCGAAAATGAATGAATGATATAATATATTATAGATCATAACCCAACAACAACCATCATCATCATTACTAGCTCTTTATCTACTCAAAACTAATAATTACAATATTTCCAACTCCATTGGAAGTACACACACTGCTAGAAATCAAATAAATGCACAAATTTGTCCAAAAACTTATGCAATTTTATAGTAATTGAGCAGTATTACTTACAAAACATGGGATAGTATGTGTCAGGTATGCGTTTACCAGACGTCAAGGCCCTGTTATTGTTTATATAGCCTAATAATAATATTTTATGACAACATAACAACAAAGAACGTGAAAAGGCACGATGGAGGATGCCGAAAATGTGGCTTGTGAGTTTGCCACGTTTACCTTCGGCTGTCCTAAAGTTTCTGCCTCACCGAGGAGGGGCGGAAAAGAGACGGAACACAAAATGCCTAGCAACCATTATCTCCCCGGCGCGAGCCCTGCTGCCGTCTCCCGAGAGACCGAGCGGACTCATCCATTCCTTCAGTTCACAAGCACAAACTTACAATAAAACTAGCAGAAACAGTCATAAACTTCATATAAAGCAGCTAAAGCGTTTGTTTGGTGATGCGCGACTTAACTAGTCACGTTAAAACGACGCGTTCGACGCAAAAGCGAACCGACAGTTCGTTAACTTACTCAAATTACCTCAACAACTACCTGAACGCTTTCGTAGGCCATCCTTAAAGAGATAAACAAACTTCGTGACGCAACAGGTTGTTGTCGAAGTGGGACAAACAAACAACAACACACACACAAAAGTATGTGAAACAACAGAAAACACCATTTCGATGGTTGCTCGAAGCGTGGCAGAAACAGCGATCAAAGTGCACGCGAGATGTGATGCTCCGCGCGACAGCAGCGCGTTAGCTTAACGCTAGCTAACAGACGCACACTTTCAACCCCATCACCACACGCAACAAGTATTATACAGCTCTAAAAAGTTACTGAACACGAACATAAAGTTGTGTGCACCGAAATAGCCCAATGTCCGAAGGAAACAGCGCTGTTTAGGGCAGGTTTGGGCTGTGCGCGTGAGCATCAGGTCTCGCGCAACGAGGAAGCTGAAGTTTGGGAAAAAAAGTGTCCTTTTACTCCGCGTTAACTTTCCCACTGACTCCAACACAACAAACACATCAAATAAACACTTCATAACACAACAGCAGGCCCGAGAGAGAGTTTAAAGCAGAGCAGAGTAACTTACGTTTGACTTTGTTGGGGTTGGGTTGCTTTCGCCGAGACATGATGATGATGATGGTGATGATGAGAGAGAAAGAAAAAAAAAGAAAAGAAAGAAGCTGCAAAAGTTGTTCCGGAGAGGAATCAAAATGGCGTTTGTAAAAGATGTGCAAAGTTCGTCAACTTTGCGTTTGAGTTGCCCACTCTCCAGATTCCCCCACGCCGAGATGCTTTAGGGAGGAGAGAGGAAAACGCTTATTTCGTTTTCCTCCCACTGCGTCTCTCTCTCTCTCTCTCTCTCTCTCTCTCTCTCTCTCTCTCTCTCTCTCTCTCTCTCTCTCCTCTAAAGCTGATAAGTAAGGCGCAGGGTCACGTGTTGCTCTTCTAGTCTCCAAGGGGACGCGCGTTACTGAAGCTGCAGCCGCGCGCAAGCATCCCGAGCACTAAACTCACAAACATCCTCAAAACTGTTAGAAAACGGCATCTTTCTGCACCGACTTCATGTCACGTGGCCACTGAGAGTGCTTTTTCCTAAAGTAAAGGCAAAATATGCATGCAGGCCCAATGAATGTAAAAACAAAAAGTTGTTAGACGTGTGCATAAATAAATAAAAATATAACAAAATAATAATAATAAATAAATAAATAAATAATCATCCTAATTAAAGTTGACTTAGAAATACTCACTAAATTAATAATCAAATATTAACATCTCATATTAAAGGCAAAATTTGCATGCAGACACATTGAATGTACAAAAATAGATGTTAGACGTGTGCATAAATTAAATAAAAATATAACAAAATAATGTTAATAATAAATAAATAATCATCTAAATTAAAGTTGACTTAGAAAAACTCACAAAATTAATCAAATATTAACATCTCATATTAAAGGCAAAATTTGCATGCAGACGCATTGAATGTGAGATGAAGTTAGACGTGTATATAAACAAAAAGATAAATAGATAAATAAATAAATAAATAAATAAATATTCATATTAATTAATGCTGGCTCACTAAATTATTAAGCAATTATTAACATCACATAATAAAGGCAAAATTGTTATGCAGGCCCAATGAATGTAAAATCAGGTTAGACAGGTTAAACAAACAAAAAAATAAATATTAATCTTAATTAACGTTGACTTTGGAACTAATCAAATACCACAAATCAAATAGTAACATCACATATGAAGGGCAAAATTAGCATGCAGGCCCAATGAATGTAAAATGAAGATAGACGTGTATGTATAAATAAATAAATAAATAAACAATAAATAAATAAATAATCATTAATGTTGTCTCAATTAAATATTATTCAAATATTAGTATCTAATATTAAATGCAAAATTTGCATGCGTTTATGAATGCATAAATAAATATTCATCTTAGTTAACGTTGACTTTGGAAGATACACTAAAATACTAATTAAACATTAACATCACATATTAAAGGCAAAATTTATTTGCAGGCCCAATTAATGTAAAATAAAGTTAGATTTATGTATGAATAAATAAATAAATATTAATCTTAATTAACGTTAACGACTTTGGAAGATTCACTAAATTATTTATCAAATATTAACATCACATTATAAAGTTTGAATAAAATATATACAAAAGGAAAGTCGTAAGTGCCATGTGCTCTGTATTTAATATTTTATTGTTGTTGTAAATTAACCAGAGATTACTGCAGTACATTTGATAAGAAAATACTTTTTTGGTCATTCTGCAAAACTCCATGTTTTGAATGCTGTTTTAGCGTAAATCTGAGTTAAAATAAATTATATACATATATATATATATATATATATATATATATATATATATATAATTATTATTATTTAATGTTAAGTAAACCAAATATAAAATATTTTAAAACAAAAAAAGATCATAAAAGGCTTTTACTGACTTAAAAAGACAAATAAATAATGCTTAAATGTATGATATGATGATGATAACAATGACGATAATGATGATTTACACAGTTTAACAAGACTAACCCTATCCCATGTTATTAGAAATTCACAAATACAACAAAATACCAACAATAATAACATAATTAAAATATAACATAATACATATGTTTAGTTGACCTTTATACTTCCTACATGACAAACTAAATCTTAAACCACACAAATAAAATACTGGAAACCAATGCAAATTAAAGTCCAAAAAAACAAACAAACGAAAAAAAAGCAATTATTTTAAAGCATAAACATGACTTTATTTTCCATAAAGCTGCTAATACACTGATAAAAAAAAAATTATGATTTGCATTTACTACATTTTCAAAAGGTAAGTGGTTGCGAACAATTAATATGGGCTGAATTTAAACAAATAAAGTTGAACTTTACAACATTTAATCTGTTGGTTTAAATTCAGCCTATATAATTAATTTGCAACCACTCACCTGAATACATTCAATAAATCTAACAAATAATGTTTTCAGTGTAATAAACAAATTAAAAAGTCTTTAAAATTAAACAATTTGAGAGACCGTTCTGAGTCAGGCATGCAGCAGGTTAAACTGAGAAATATATATGCCATTTATCTTTAGATGATGAACTTGAGTTCAATGATGGGGATTGATCAAGCATGAGGTTTTGTTTGTTGCCGGTGGCTAAAGCTGCAAATTCCACCTGGTGCTGATAGCAGGACATGAGAGCCTCCCTTCCTCCAGCTCAGGCTGATTAGACTGGACAAACCTGCCCCCGCCGAGAGCCGCCAGCAGACGCATGCTGGGTATTACAACTGAAACACTCAGCACTTTATCAGTCATACTGATCAATTCTGATCACACAAACGTCCCATATCAGCTGGGTTATTAGTGCATGTATTAAAATGGCTGTATTAAAAATATTTTAAAAACTATTGCCGGTTAAGTACATACAACTACATGTTTAAAAAGCTACATACATACGATTGCATGTATTACAAATGAGAAACATACAACTGCATGTATTCAAAATTACATGAATACAACTGTGTGTTTTTAAAAATGATTAATCCAATTTACCTGTTGTATTAAGGTGAGTGGTTGCAAACTATTTATATGGGCTTATTTTACCAAACAAAGTAAATGGAGAGATGTTCAACTTAATTTGTTTGATGAAATTCAGCCCATATAAATAGTTTGCAACCACTTACCCTAAAAATGTGTAGTAAAACTAATGATTTTTTTTTGTGTACATATGACTGCATGTTTTAAAGTTACCAACAAACAGCTGCATGCTTTAAAACTGACATACTACTGCATATATTAGGCTACAAACATACAACAGCATGTATTAAAGGTGAAATACTTACAACTGCATGCATTAAAAATGACATAAGACTGTATTAAAGTCACAAACATACAACTGCATGTTTCAAAAATGACATACATATGATTGCATGTATTACAAATCAGAAACAGACAACTGCATGTATTAAAATTACATAAATACAACTGCAAAAAATATGAATTTTACAAACTAAACTGGTTGCAAACTATTTGTATGGGTTGAATTTAAACCAACGAATTAATGATAGTAATGTTTAATTTGTTTCTTTTAAATTAGCCCATATAAATTGTTTTAACCACTTATGGAACAAAATCAACGCCAAAAGTATTGAAATAAAAAGCTTATCGAAAAGCACAAACTGAAAAAATAATACACTGAATTAACAACTGCTTGCATTTTAATGACTTGTATTGCCAGGGTTTGTAATTTTAAGTGCTGAAATTTAACACATCTGTTTATTAAAAATGTGTTTATCTCAACTTAAAATATTTCAAACACGTTTTTATACTTTAAAATTCAATAATTCATATTCAATATTCAAAATTCAATATTCAATTCAGTTCAAAAAATTGCTTCCAAAAATTCAGTGGATCAAACCCGACTGTTAAAATTCGACGTTAATTTTGAACTGCAGGAAAAACAACAGATCTCCAGCTGCCTTTTCACTAGCAGGGGGACCAATTTAAGATGTTTAAACCAGTAAATAAGTGTTGTTTTTAATTTTGAAATAGTATTATTTTGCTCACCCCATGTTTATTACAAGACTTTTATAGCGTAATATACAACACCAACTCAGACAATAGATCTCTTTAAACTATAAAAAATGTTCATAAAAGTCACTTTTTTTACTTCTCAAAGTTAAAAAGTTGCAGGAGGAAAGATCATGCTCCCATAACGCAATTCAAAACTTAAATAAATGGGGAAAAGTAAAAAATAAGTCTAAAGCGCATGGCGCAAAAGCAATAAGGGGTGTCCGAATCCACTGCATTTATTAAAAATTACTAGAGTAAGTTGAGTTTTACTGCGATTCAACAACATATCTGGGCATAAAGGGGATTGAAATGTCATATCTCACAGAACCACGGTGCTACATTGCTTTTCTTACTAGAGTTTTTGTCTTGTTTCTAGTCCAAATATCTAAAAACTCTTAAATCTACAAGCTTTTTCTAGATGAGAAAACAATATTGTCTTGTTTTATGAAATAAAATGAAAGTTTTTTTTAGATTTTCCTTACAACAGCCACTGGGCTAAGCAAAATAATCTTGTTTTTCCTTTTGAAATAAATGATTTTGCTCACCCCATGTTCATTACAAGGTATTTGTAGCGCAAAATACAACATCAACACAGACAATAGATCATTCATTCATTCATTTTCTTTTCGCCTTAGTCTCATTATTAATCTGGGGTCGTCACAGAATGCCCTTTCAGCTGCAACCCATCACTGGGAAACATCCACACACACTCACTCACACACACATTCACTTGGGACAATTTTAGCTTACCCAATTCACCTGTACCACACATATTTGGACTTGTGGGGGAAACTGGAGCACCCAGAGGAAACCTTACGCGAATACCAGGAGAACATACAAACTCCACACAGAAACACCAACTGACCCAGCCGAGGCTCAAACCACTGACTTTCTTGCTGTGAGGCGAACATGCTATCCACTGCGACACCACGTCACTCAACAGTAAGTCACTTTAAACTCTTCAAAATGTTCATACAAGTCACTTTTTTAAACTTTTCAAAGTTAAAAAGTTGCAGGAGGAAAGATCATGCTCTCATAACACAATTCAAAACATAAATAAATGGGGAAAACTAACAAATGAATCACAAAATACAAGAAAACTGCTAATTTACAGACATTTTTTACAAAAATACCATGGAGGTGAATTGCAGTTATTCTCAAATCTCTTCAGCAAATCTTCCTTTGTGTTCAACAGAAGAAAGAAACTCAAACCGGTTTGGAGGATGTCAGAATCTTAATTTCTCTATGTGTGTGAACTGTCCCTTTA